GGTGACTAGAGGCTTTACCAGGAGACAGATCCTCATATAATGCCCAAGACAGAGGGAATCTAAGATATTATCTAGTTCTACAGCCTTAAAAATAGATAGATAATGAACCTGAAGCCCAAAGAGGTTGTGATTTGCCTAAAACTTCAAGTTCTTTCAGGGTTCTTTCCAATAAATATAGTATACGGAGTGCTTAGCAGCCTGAGGCACTTATTGTGATGCTAAAGGATGCAATAGAAAGTAAGTTACGGGTCCCTAATTACTATTTGCAGACATAGATGAGTACTATAATGGACAGCGAATTAAATAGATATTTATTGATCAATCCTTATTAGTAGGTACTGGGAGGGGAAATATGAATAAAGCACAGTTTTTATGTTCACAATGCTCATAGCCTGGTAAGGGAAACAAACAGATACAACTATAATACAGTGTAATAAGATGAATAATAAATAGATAAATGAGCAAAGGAACTCAATAAGCAAAAACATGAAAATGATTGATCCTGCCTAGTGATTCAGAGGATGTTACAAAGAAAGGTAAATTGATGACTTAGTTTTGAAAGATGAGGAGAATTTTACCAGATAGAAAGGGGGGGAAATGGGGTATTTCAACCAGTGAGAACATGTGTTAAATGGACACAAAGACAAGAAATAATGTGTTTAGAAAATGGTGAGTAGGTTGGGACATAGAACAGAAAGGTAGGTGATTTGACCAAAAAACAAAAAAGAGGAACATTCAAGAAGAAAGAGGTACTCAACAGCTGAATTTCTCAAGTGTTTTTTTAGAGTTCAAATAGAGTAGACATTGAGCAAAAGTAATGATTTGGCTAGACTCAAACACCTTTTAGTTACAAATTTTTCTTCTATGATATCACTGAAAGCATTTTTCTCTATTTTCTAAATTGTTTCATTATAATTATTAAATTATATAATATGCATTTGTTGTAAAATATAGAATGCAGATGAGTACATAGTTACAAAAAATGAAATCATATTCTATGTTCTACAATCTTTGAAAATCTCATAATGTTTTTAATGGTTGCTATCACAAAAAAATACAGCTGCTTAGACTTCCTCTAATCCTTAAATTAGAAATTCTATTGCATTTTCTGTCCTCTGTATCTATTATCTTTTTGTGTTTCATTTTGCTCCCTAACTTTTGCCTTCTTAGTGAATTTTAATTCAAAAGTTTGATTTCTAAAACATTAATTTATGAATAATGTTCATTCTCTTTTATGACATCCTTTGCTGATGTTCATGTTGTCGTTGTGTTTTTAGGCTTGTAGATTTTTCTGATTGTCTCAGACAATTTCTTCTTCATTTAATCCATCTTTTCATTTCCTTATTTATCCGTTCTTAGAGTTCATTGCAAACCCAAAAATGCTATCTGTGTTTTATGTTTTTCTGAATATATTTTTTTACGAAAATATTTTTCCCTTACTATAATTCCCCTCTTTTATTATGTTTCATTTTTAAGTCTCCTGTTTGTTTGGATAGCTAGAAAGAGCTATCCAGGCAAGATGTTTGCCAGGAAATAAATGGAGAAATCCCCTTCATTTTCTTTCTCTTTTTTTTTAAGATTTTATTTATTTATTTTTCAGAGAGAGAGAGAGAGAAAGCACAAGCAGGGGCAGCAGCAGGCAGAGGGAGAAGCAGGCTCCCCGCTAAGCAAGGAGCCCAATGCAGGACTCGATCCCAGGACCTGGGATCATGACCTGAGCTGAAGGCAGATGCTTAACTGGCTGAGCCATCCAGGCATCCCTCCCCTTCACTTTCCATGTGCTATAATCCTTCTGTCCATCCAACTATTCTGATATCCATCCAGTATTTATCTAGGGTTAACATGGAATACAAAACCTGTAGCTCTAGTTTTACCAGAAATGGGATTGATTTCCTCCCATCTCATTCCTTGAAGTTGAAACTTGATTTTAGAATTTAACATTTATCCTTATCAAATTTCTTCTTGTTTCATTTAGTCTGTTTAAGAGTGCTTCAGTGTTGATTTTGTTGTCCAGTATACTTGTTATCCCTCGCAGTTTCATGTGGTCTAAAAATCTGCTAAAAGTGAGTTTTTTCATAAATTTGGAACTCTGTTTCACATCTTACTAGAAAGAACTTTATGCACATTTAGTGCCTTTTTCCTTTCAACTCTGCATTTTGAGGACAAGTATTGTATCTATTTTATTTAAGATCTATTCCCAGCACCTGATGTATCTGTCATTTAGTAGTACATAATACAGTGTCAAGTAAGTGACCAATAGTGTGTGGCATTATCGCTTTATAAGGTACCCAAAGGTGAAAAAAAAATGGGTTTTGGGGAAAAGATTTTGCACAGCTTTCTTCTCCATATTAAAGAATTTTGTGACTAGTAGTATCATGACATTGTCTGAAGGATAAAGGGCACACATGGAATTCTCATACATTTCTGGTGGGAGTATAAAGTGGAACACTCTTCCAAATGCTGTTTTTCAGGATTTAGTAAAGCCAAAGTTATGTGTTGCCTATTACTTGGCAATATCACTCCTGAGTTTATACCCAAGTGATATGAATACATATATCCACCAAAAGACACGCACAAGAATGTTTTTAGCAGTGTTCTTTATAATAGCCCCAAACTGAAAACAATTCAACATCCATAGGACATAATATATTTGGATAGTGGAATAGTATACATCCACAAAAAAGAATAAACACTTGACATATACAACAACTGGGATTAATCTCACAGAGGACATGTGAGAAAGCAAGCTACAAGAGAGCATATAGTGTATGTTCTGTTTTTATGAATTTCAAGAACAGACAAAACTATTACCTTTCACCTGTTGTAGGGTGTCCATTGGTACCAAAAGGGAGAGCCACTGGTGCTAGAAATGTTCTTGTTCTGGGTGGTGATCGCACAGGGAGACACATGTATGTGCATGTCAAAAGTCTTCAAGCTATATACTTACGACTTGTGTGTTTTACTATAGCAAGATATACTTCAATTTAAAAACTAAAAGGCAAAATAAAGATATTTCCAAGCAAAACAAAAAGGAAGAAAGGATTTGTAGTTGAACATTTTGAAAGCAGAGTGGGTATCACAATACTTAATTTCAGAGCTAATGTGGTAATTAGAGATAATGTATGTGAAGTGTCTGGGCCGAGTCTGGCATTTTTTATAGGATAAATAATTTGCAGATACACATATATCCTAGGCCAGTGCTTCTCAAGCTTTAATGCACATACAGATCACCTAGAAATCTTGTTAAAATGCAGAATCTGACTCTAGGTCTGAGATGAGGCCTGAACTCCTATATTTTTGAAATTCAGTGTTGCTTACCCACAGACCATAGTTTAAGTAGCACCAGAGTGGAATGGAGGTGAATGGGGTTTATCGGCAGGGGAAACATCTTGATCAAATCCATGTTTTAAAAGGTATTTCAGCTAGCAATTCACAGGATACACTACAGGAGAAAAAAATGACAGATCCAAGAGAAAGACAATATATCCTTAAATGAGGAAAGGGGAAGGGGAAATGAAGTGTGGGAAAAGAGAAACATTTTGCAGAATCATCAAGACATGGCACTTCATTGAATTTTAGAAGTGATGACAGAGAGTCATCAAAGACAGCTTGAGAAGTTTCACTTCAATGATCAGACAGATAAATATGCCTCCATTGTAATTATTTTATCGGATCCTTTTGATTAAAATTGAGCTCAAGAGGAATGATGTCAAAGAACTTTTGGGGGGGGGGTCATGCTAGCAGAGAATGAACCAAGGGGAAGCCATAGAGTGGGCAGCTTAAGGATAGTTGCATGAAAGAGGAAACTGTAAAGATAAAGGGTTGTACGAGTTAGCTTTGCTGAAGTAACAAATAATCCTAAAAGTTCCATTGGCTTACAACAAAGGTGTGTTTTGTCTCTGCTTGGTTCTGCTCCACATGCTTTCATTCCAGGATGCAGACTGAAGGAGCACACTCACTTAGGAGCAAGAAAGATGGAGGACACATGCAATGGATCTTAAAGCTTCTGCCCAAATGTACCATTTTGTAAACCAAGTCACACTAATAGGCCTGGTGTCAGTGGGGTGGGAACAAACACTTGTCCCACAGGGGCCACTGCAGGTCACATGGTCACAGACATGGAGTTGAATCCTCTTACAGGAAGAAGTAGGGACCAGTTGAAACAATAATGCAGTCTACCACAGCAGAGTCCAAGCCCCTCTGTATCCCCTTCATGCCAATAACCAACTCTAGCTCTGGATTTTTTTTTTTTTTTAGTTTAACAGTTAAATATTCTCAGCATTAAAAAAAGCATATTCTCAGCATAAAACCTTTCATTAAAATGAGGCAAATGGACAGATTTCAATTTCCTCTCTTAATGAGCACTTAAATATTCAAAACTCTACAGGGGAGGGGAGGGGGAGAAGCCAGGGGGTGTGGAAGAGAAACCATTACTAGATAATCAGCCTTGGAGTAATCAAGAATTGGCTGAATTCTCTCCTGATCTTTGCTATATTTAGTAGGTGTCTTAACAGAATGGTTGAGCTGTTAGGTGACCCAATCCCTGAGTGCTCACATTACTTAAGTTGTTCATGCTCTTTTAATGGGAGAATGAGAATACTAGGGTTTTAATTTTCTAGGAATCCTCAGTACAGGAAATTTATACATCTTAAAGGAAAATTAAGTGTAGATAACCCATACAGCCCAGGAATTACTTAAAATTTCGAAACTTCCAGGTTGTGTCCATCAACGTTCAGTGCATTGATAAGCTAAACACCAATTACACCAGTCAGTCCAAAGAAGAGGTTTTTGCCTAATTACCTGGCTATTTCTCATAAAATAATTGACATAAATTTGATGACTTGCAAAGTTGCACACTTTGGTTCGAAACCGTTCTCTGCCTCTACATGCAGGATCGAAACACGGTTTCTGAATGTTTTGCTTTTCCAAACCAGGGATAAACCTATGATCATGCATGGCTCATTTCTTTTATTTTTCAACCACTGTTCTTAACAGGACAAGAGCATGATTCAACGAAGAATGAAATAAAAATTGAGACAGACTCCCAGAGCTCATATATGGAAACAGAAGGTATTGAAACCAGAATGCCTTGTTATCCGAGAATGAGATGAAACTGTGAACCATGATTTTTGTTTATCCTGGTGTTTGTGAGTAGTGTGCGTGTGTGTTTTAGGCACTAATTACCAGAGCATGGCAATAGTGTTCTGCTCTGTGTGCCTCTTAAAACTCTCGGAGGGGAAAAAGAAAGGAACTTTAACTTTCTCTGCTTTAGTCACTTTGTTTTCTCAGTGATTCCGATGAAAACATACCTGAGTCTCCTTCTGTCTCATTCTATTTAGAGCTCTCACCAAACCAGGAAGATGACACGACTGTGGAGCAACCAGAAGTGATCCCACTAACAGATGACCAAGAAGACAAAGAAGGTGAAAAAGGTAGGACTTCTCTTAAATTAACCCATCAAGAATAAAGAGTTTCCTGGGATTCCTACCTAGAATGCAACCATCAGTTACCCTCCTGCAATAGCAGTCTGTAAAGAGGGAAAATGAGCATTTCTTTCATCCTGAACCTACTTGTGAGAGTAGAACAAAATCTAGAAGTAGCAAAAGAAGATACTTGTAATTTTTGCCCTTTCAAGGAGTTTGAAGATGTTTTTTATTATTTGTTTCAATTTAACTTAATTTAATTTAAAAATCATGAAATACAAAAATTCTAGTATTGAGAAAGCCTATAAGGAATTGAAATTATGGACTAGATGGATCTAGGCGGATAAGAGTCTTAGAAAGTCTGAGATGGCTTTAAAACACAAAGATAAGACTTTCTGTATTGATTTCCTTCTGTCGTCCTTCATATGGTATTGATTAAGGAACCAATTTATGTAAAATATACACATTACATGAACCTTCTAAATTGCATGCTTTGTCCACTAATATTAGGATTCAGTAATATTGAATACTGTTTAAAAAAATAAGTGAGCATTATAATGATTTCTGAAGACATAGGAGGAACGAACACTTCGTAAATTTTAAAGAAATATTTGGGGCATCAAGCCAATATATTGGAGTAAAGACAGGCATCCTTTTAAAATATCTATATTAAAAACCTATTATCAAAGAAATTTAATATTTATTGAAGAACTTGATGAGTTCCATTTTAAAATATAAAACAATCTCTTAAAAGAAGCTCAATATGAAATAAAAAATGAAATCTTTGTCTGGTATACTATATCATAAATCATGCTGCTCTTAAATAAGTATGTGTTTGCAAAGCAGTTGCAAAGTAATAACTTGACGGGCCTTGTTTATTGAACACAGTGATCAATTTTGTTTCCAAATTAAAACGCAGACATGATCTCAATAGTAAAATCAGGTCAATAGTAACTACAGCTTCCAAATTACGAATTCTTCTTGGCCGGGGCATTGACACAGTTTAATTACTAAGCCATGTTAGTGATTTCAACATCTTTTTTAAGATTTCCATTGCATTTAGAACACAATATTCTTCCATTTCTCTGTTTCTAATAGTCTTTTCTCCATTTCCCTGCAAATCCTAGTTCAGGCTCATGATACCATGTTCCCAGCAAGTCAAGTAAATGGCATACCTGGAGTATTTTATGTCTGATGATGTAACAGAGAATTGATAGGACGCTGACTTCAGACACAGATACATGGCATTGCTCTCTTCAGTTGTACTTCTAACACGGAAAACACACAATGTCTTGCCTGCCTGTTTACTTTCTCTATAGCAGAAATTATTTACTTTGTATATTGTGCCTCAAGACATGCAAATGAGGAACATCAAACAACGGGTACATTTTCTTCTTTTTGACTTGACCTACAAGGGAAAAGCTGGCATTCCGCACTCACTGACTTGGTGTCCCTTCTTCCAGTAGTTCTCCAGCATCTAGCCCTCCTCTAATTACTGAGGAATTAAATACCCACATCCCTCTCCCTTGCAGGGATGCCAATCCTCTATAGCACATGGCAGAATGGCTCGTGAGAAAGCAGTGAAGTCAAAGTCGGCTACTTGCTTGTAGCAACTTTGAAGTTGGATTTCTTTTTTCAAATGTGACTTTTCACTGCAGGAGAGTAATAATGCGTGTGGCTTTGAATTAAAATTTTCCCTCCCCTTCTTTCTGGCAGATACTTAACTTGTCCCTGCCTTGCATATTTCTGTTTAAATTTGAAATAACTTAAGCATCCCCTTATCATCTTATTCTTTGCTTCAAAGGAAGAGTGAATAGCTAGCCTGTGACACATAAGGGAAGTCGCAGGAGGAGAGTGGGGTGATGTAGAGTCAGGACACTGTGGAGTAGCTCTTCCCCACATTGACATGCTGAGTGGCTGTGGGCAAGTTCTTTCAACTTTCAATGCCTCAGTGTCCTCCTCTGTAAGATGGTGATGACAAAATGACCTGTCACGTACAGTTGTGGAGAAACTTTAATGAGTTGACACATGTACAGAAATCACAGTACCTGCCACATAGAAAGCACTCAGTGTTTAGTATTCCTCACACTTCAATAAATTGACAACCAAGTCGAGAGAATCCACATGTGGAGTTGCTCAAGTCCATTTGTGGTCCTTCCTAACTATTTTGAATCCATCAAAACTTCATATTTTCCACTTTTTCCTTCAACAACAAAAAAAATTGTTCTGCACATTTCCTCTTCAACACCGAATCCTGCAGGTGGTTTTGATATGTATGTTCTTTTCTATAAAGACAGAACAATTAATGAAAGGTGAAGTGGGAGGCAATTCTCTCTCTTCAGAAATTCCTTTTTCTTTGTCAAGATGTCAATCTTCTATTTGGGACGTGCTGATCCAACCATAATTTCTATTTTTAAAAGAAGATACCATTGATTTATTGGCAGATCCATGGAATAAAAGTACTAAATAAATCAAATAAGGACTTTTTTTTTTTTTTTTTTTTTTGCTTTCTTTAGGCTCATGGAGCTATTAGAATCTTGTTTGAAAGCATTTTGAGAATATAGCTCTGGGTTTTGTGTATATTCAATGTCTTTTAATGGAAAGTTGCACAAACATCTGAAAAACTATTCTTATCTGCAAACAAAAACAAATGAATATTCTATTACATTTGTAGGGATATTATTTATAGCTTTAAAAATATTGGTTCTCTTTTATTTTGAGAATCCAAGGAGACAGAAAGTGGTTGCTTTCAAAAAATTTCAGACCAGGAAAAAATTGCATAACCTTTTTCTCTCATTTTGTAGCATTCTATAAGATTAGAAAATGTAGATAATCTTCAGGATACATCTTCTATGGCTCCCAGGTGTATGGGCACAGATGTTGCAACATTAAGTTTTGAAGTTAGCTCTACCAAAATACGGGTTTTGAAAAGAAGAGAAAATATTCAGCAGAAGTTCATGCTGATAAAATTATACAATAGCACAATGGACATATCCCTGGGAGATCTGAAATACAAAAATTTCAACAGGCATAAAGTGAGGTTTCACATATGGCAGCTTTTCTCATAGAGCCACATTGCCTCTTCCTAAATGAGTCCAGTTTTATGCTTTCCCAGCAGGATCTGTGGTACATATGAAATCCAGTAAAATAGCGCCATTTAGGCTGATAACCTAATAGGAAAGTAATGTTATAGGAGATCTCCTCGAAATATGATCTCCTGTTTTAGCATAAAAGAGAAAGCCAGTATTAAACCATTTTTCTGAAGATTTTTATTTCTAGTTGAATTTAGAAATAGTTGAAATAAAATCTGAACTATATTAAAATCATGTCATTATTATATCACATATGACTTATTAGGAATATATTGGATTTTTTCTTCAAGTGTTACATAGAAGGCATGTATCCCAATTATTTTTCTTGTATTTCTTCAAGTGTTACATAGAAGGCATACATCCCAATTATTTTTCTTGTATCAATGGATAAGTATAATATGAAATAGTAATTCTTTATTTATCTCAGGTTGACCAAAATGTTACTGGAAACCTAAGGTCTATATTATGGTCTAAGAGTTTCTTGGGAAAAGATGGATGTAGACAGGCATACAAGTAGAAAGTGAACTAAAAGGCCACAACAAGTATAAATTATCATGTTGCAAGGCTAGTGTTTTGGCCTCTGACGAGCAGGGCCATGGAACAAAGTGTCCATGGCTTCTGACTCTGGCTGTGTGGTTCCTGGCAATTCTTTACCTTCTAGGAATCCCAGTTTCTGGGGTTGTACAATGAGAGGCATGAACTCACATTGCACAAATAATGCAATTTCACAAATTTTCTTAGAAGGCCAAAGAACCGCATTCTTGATAAAACATGGGGAGGAGATGCGGGAGCCAGTGATCATGAATATGTGGAGAAAGCCGAAATTACAGGCTTTACTCAGTGTCACTTACTACATTCTATTGATAAAAATGCAGAGGTGCCCTAGACCAGACAAAAAGATCAGCCAAATCAACCATATTTTGTTTCAGAATTCAACCAGTAATTGGATGGCTGATTATTCCCTCAAGAGTCTTTCAATGGGGAGACAATGTTTTTCAGCTCCAAGTAGGTTTACACCCAAATTCTACTCAGAACCAGCCTGGCTTTCCATCACCATCTTTCTTATCCACGTGGGAAGCATCCTTTCTCGAGGCTCCTCTGGCCACTGTTGGATCTTTCGGTGAACACATAGTTCGTGAACCACTTTCTCTTCTGCTCCTACCCGTCAAATCCAATAGGGATTCATTTTGTCTACAAAGCACCACTACCCAGCCCTTGGTGTTGTCCACTATTGATGGGATTCTTACATCACTGACAGAGCCCTCTCCTCTCTACTTGAAAAGCAGCCTCAACACCAGCCATGCAGCAACACACAACCTCCGGGGCAGGCAGGCTTTCCTCCTCCAGACTGTGCTCTTTGTTCCAGAGACTCCTAGTTCGGACATATTTTTTTGATTCATACAAAATATTATATGAACTTACCCCTAGCGCAATTAACTTCCTGGAACTTTCTGTTTTCAGAAAGTCTTTTTATCTCATCTTTTCAAATGAAATCGACATTCATAATGTTGTGTTTTTCACGTTAACAGCACCACAGTTTAGTTGAGGGGGGTGCAGTTTCATGTTCAGATAGTTTCTTCTGTTATTGGTCTTCTGTCCTAATCGTGTGGTGTAGCTGGAATTTGTCGACCCAAATTTGGTTTTAGAATATAAGATAAATTCATAATGCTGGTCCCTTCTAAGGTTTTATGAATATTTTTAAGTGTTTAATGAAATTCTTTGTATTGGTTAAATAGATTGAACATAAAAATTACAACCTTTTAAGCTGAATTACTTAGGTTTTCTGCATATCCGTATGTAGGCAATATATACATATAGAACCAGTTCACTCAAATTACACTGTATAACAAGTAAAATTACAATTTTTATATTTACATTGACATGACTTTTTAAATTCATTTTTGGAATGCTAATCTT